CCACTTGACATTCCACTGTTTGTAGTATAAGTCAATAACTTTTTCAATTGGCGGTTTGAGGGCCATCACCTGAAGGCTTGCATTTGGGGCGGTGCGATAGGCCTTTGTTATGAGTAGTAGGGCTTTACGTTGGGCAGAGGTGAGTGCACGTCTAGGATGAACTTTTTGAGCGGCTTGACCCCAGGTGCCGCAAGCGTAAGTGATGGTAGGAATAAATATGTGGTCGTAGATGGTCCCCATTGCCTCTGAATTGAGGCCCCATTTATTTTTGGCATACTTGGCAAAGGTATGAAAGATGATGCCCGTGCGAGCAGCTATATGTTTAATATGCTGGGTCCAGGTTAGAGTGGGGTCGAGAGTAATGCCCAGGTAAGTGATATGACTGGGCACATCACCTAGAATATCCTGTATTATGGTTTTGATATCATGCCTCAAAGGCGCTGTCTGTAACTGCCGTTGTAGCCAGGGCTCCATGAGTTTGTCTCCCATCTTCATAAAGAAATCTCACCGGGACATTGGTTTTTTTTTTTGTTTCTGACGTTATTAGAGACATAGATAGCATAGCTGTTTATTGCCAATAGGTTTAGAATATTATAAAACACGCATAGTGGCCACCTTTTGGTTTTGTCTCATATTTGAAGACATTTGATCTATTGTGTCTACCACACCCTTTGTACTATTATAAAAATGTATTATTTTGTGGTTTTCCTGTATTTTTATCAATGTTAAGTTGATCATGAATAGTCGACAAAATGTAAACAACTTTATTTGGCTTGGCTTTGTACGAAACTAATGTCTTATTGCCATCATAAAAAAATATTGAAGTATCAATAGCGTGTGATTTAGAATTTTTTAATTTTTCAGGAATTTCTCTTTCGTTACTTCTAAGAGTGCCAACTAAGGTCAAATTATAAGGTGACTTCAATAGTTCACCAAACATATAGATGTGAACCTGTTATCCATAGTAATGTTACAGTTTGTTCCATGTAAAATAGATGTTATTTCCTTTACGAAAAACAGCCAATATTTATTTCTGAGGATCAGTACCTTTTCCCAAATAGGGAATGGCATTTATCACGTACTAACTGTTTACATCTGCAGCCATAACAATGTACAGTACATAATGTACATGACTTTGCAACAAAGTTACATAGTAACTAAACTTTTGTCAAGCAGACTACGGATGGCCATAAGTCAATTTCTAATTGACGTGTGAACACAATTACATCACACACGGCACTGTTTATTCAAATTATTAAGGTAGAAAAAGAATGACCGGCAGGAAGCGCGGGAAAGTTTCTGAATTTCACTTTCAAGCATAGATGCGTCGTCGTGTGGACAAATGATTAGTTATCTAGAGTTAAGCAACACTATTATTCATTTAAAATATGTAATTTGTACTATATTCTCAATTATTATAAAATATTAATTTAAATGACTGAAAGTTTTCATTTCAATTATTTTATTTTAAATTTTAAAGTAAGTTTTTAATCCACAAACAACATATTACAACAGATTTATTCTGGTAAACATTTACATCCAAACAACACCAGGGTGAAGTCAACAATGTACCTAGAACCTGTTACTGGTGTGAGTTATACAAAGGATAAAGTACATCACAGACGTTTTTGAACAGCTTAAAGTTCTTCCTCAGGTGATACACAGAATAACTGATGGAACTCTGAATAAATAGAACACAAAGATTTGAAAATTAGATTGAATCCATATATCTTGAAATCATTAATTGCTAACATCAACTACTCACACGAATGTGCATGTCCAACATAATGATTTCAAGAGACGTGGATGTGATCTAATTTTCAAATCTTCGTGTTCTGTTTATTCTGTGTATCACCTGAAGAAGAACTTTAAGCTGTTCAAAAACATTTATGATGTACTTTATCTTCATATAACTCACACACGTAACAGGTTCAAGATATGTTGTAAATTAATTCTGTTTAATAAGTCACATTATGTTATTATACAACCTGTCAGAAAACAAACTTTACAACACAGTCTAAACATTGGTGCTAATCCAAGAACCATGCTTTAATGTTGTAATTACAAGCACTATTTAACTTTTGAAAAATTCAAAATTCTTTAGTCAGAACTTATAAAATACAGTACAAAGATACTACATTTTATTTCTAAATTGAAAAAGTGAATGATATTAGCTTTTGTACTACAAGGATAGATTTTATTTTGAAATTAAAAATCTGAAACTTCTTTAATAAAGATTAACACATTACAGTATAAAGATATATTCTATTTGCCATAGAATATGCAGTTTTCATCAATTTTATCATTTCTTTAGTGAATATTTTTGATACTATAGTACAATACTGTACATGGCTATATTTTAATTACAAACTATGAAGCAAATATATTGTCTGTTTTTTTTTTACTGTTCAGCTTAAGATAAACATTACTGTTTATGGAAAAGTTTTACCCACAAATTTGAATTTTACCAAATATTTTAACTAGAACTTTAATTAAAATAAACAGATGACATATCAACATTTATTTATGATATTTTCAATAATTTTCTCTCATCCACTCTTTTAACATCAAATTGTCTCTACAAAATGTATCTAAAAGATTCAGTTACATTACAAAAGTTATTGCAAACCCTTCATAAATTTATATTTTCATCATTATTTTATCTACTAACGTCACACAGCCTCAAATTCTCAGATGTTTATACTTGGCTCGTCTGCAATTTTGAAGCCAGTTAGCTCTCTTAGTGGTTTGCTTCTTATAATAATAGTCTTACATTATCAGTTATTTACAACTGTAAGGAGCAAATTTACTTCCTTTATATTAAACTAAACTTTTGTAAGCAAACATACAGATTTTAGGTGTTCATTGTTTTAGTATTAATCTTACCTAGTCATTATTTAAAAATATGAATTAGACACATTATCAGATCTCTACCTACATAAATTGAATTCTTTCACTTACTTTTCAGGTGTACACATGTGCAAGTAAACCTTTTTGACAATAAAATGCCTAAAAGAAAGTCACAACTGTCACAAAACATATCCATGTCAAGAGACCATTGGAAAGCTTATTACTTTACAACATACATAAGCTTAAGCTACCTTAAAACTCAAACCCTCAATCTTTTCTCCTGATTTCATCCCCAACAAATCACCAAACTCTTTGATCAATATGTACGAAATTTTGCACAGATACTCTCTGCCACCCTGTGGGACACATGCTAATCTATAACAAAAACAACTCAGCCCCTTTCTTAGTTCCCGGGCAATGCTGGGCATTCTTTGCTAGTAATAAAGAAAAGGAAATAATATGAAAAGTAGGACAATCACTAGTGGATAATCTGATACAACAATCAGACAACATATACGATACATAACAGACAATGAATATATCTATGACTTACACCAAGATGTCTTATGCTGACAACCCTCCTTGTTTTTCTTGGTTCCTTTTTTTCTTTTTATTCTTACTTTATTCACAATTTTATTATAGTTTATTTTATTATACATTGAATCTATTTTACATGGTATTTATCTCTGTATTGAATTTTGTAATATTTTATGCATATATATACTATGTTTAATATCTAGTTAAAATATTAAATTGTCTACATTCAAAATAATATCTCAAATTTTTTAAAAAAAGCTGTAAGAACATTACTTAGAATTGTCAGTTCAAACCTTCTAATTTTATATGTTTAAAACCTAACACAGGCCTGTGAAAGAAATCAATAACATTTATTTGAATAGTGCATTGCTGAAAAAAGGTACATAAGATGTTGTTCAGTCATAAAACTTACTGTTTAGTTAATTTATCTAAACAATAACAAAACAGATGCTTGTGAATTAACATATAACAAACAACATTACAAATTTTCTGTAGTAAAAATACTTTTGACAACATTATTAAGACTTCATCAGTTACAAATATTTAAATAAAACATTTGGCAAAAATTTCAAAATTCTAGAAATTTTTGCTTCAAAATATTACTTTTAAAAAACTTTTGCAGGATGCTCTTGTAAATATTTAAAACAAAAATACATATATAAAAAAATTAATACAGAACACAACAATAAACATAAGGAATACAATTAAAAAATAATTGAAGTTTGTGCCAAATATTGTTTCAATCTCTATAACTAAGTAAGCTTTAATTAAATAAAATGTAAGTAGACAAAAGTACTTTTGTTACAAAAGGTTTATTATAATTTTTGTGTTATACATTAAGTAGTAGACTTAATTATGTGAAATTCTGACATTGTATAACACATTAAACAGTGTTGCAAATATGGCCGCGTTTCTTTATGCAGCGCTCGAGAAGTGCTTTACAGCGAACCCTCTGAAACCTGTTTCTAAATGTAGCACTGCAATGTAGCGAACCGTTTCTAAACGTTTGCTGCAAGAGGTCGCTGCAGGGAAGATAAAGCAGCTTTTACATCCGCTACACGTGTAAAGCAAAATGGATGCTTATGTGTATAATA